ATCATGGCCTCTAGAGCCTTCTGGATCAGACCATGGTTATAAGCTCCCACCTCTGGAAAGCTGGACTCTTCTATCAGATGCATTGAAGTTTCCAGAATGGTTTCTCAGCACCCAGCTGCTTAGTATGCAATTTGGCACTAAATTTTTAGTTCAGTTTAGGGTTATGCTCATTTATAGGGCTGTTTAGGTGTGATTACATAGATAATGTGTGGACATTCACAACTTCAAAGTATGGCATGCTGAAGAGTGGGTAGAGATGCCTTCATGGATTTGGGTTGCTTGACTACCAGAAGCCAAAGAGCTGCTCTCCCACGCAGCTAATGTCCAGGACTCTCAAAAGACAGCCATGGGGTCAGATACATGGTGAACTCCTGGGGTTCAGAAATCCAAGCCTTTATTTTTCATAAGCCCGGGTGTTATAGCAGCACTCGGTTCTTGTCATAACTCAGGTTGCCCCTATAGTCTAGTCTCCCGGCTGCTCCTACCTGCAGCCGCCTTGTCTGGGTGAGACCTTCCTCCTTGCCTGTTGCATTATTACTCTTGGATATCCCAAACGCAGGAGCTGCCCTCCCTGGACTCAGGTGCATTCTGGCACTACAAGGCAGCAGTGCCACCTCGGGGCACTTCCCAGAATTGGGAAGTCTGCTGAAATACAGGTCAGCGTTCACATTTCTGCTGTCCTACAGTGCCACTGAGTTTATGCTACCAGGAGAGATTTCCAAACCTTGACCTACCTTCTGTGGTTTTTCCAGCTTATTTGTCACGCTGCTTTAGGAACTCTATTCAAGCCAAAATACCTCTCCCACTACCCCGACTGCCATTTAGTATTAGCCAGTGAGGACTTGTATCATCTTGGTTTCCCCAAGAGCACAAGCCTGCCTTTTAGTGAAGTGCAGCTGCATACAGCTGTGCGTGTTCCTTCATCTGGGTTAGCTCTGAGAACAGGGCTGCTGCGGCTGTTTCGGTTATTTAATAGTTTGCACTTAAACCACTCGATACATTCTCTTGATTGCTGCTTGGATAGGCAGCAGCTGTTGTCATGAATAAAATCTCTGTTACTAGCAGCAACAGCAAATATTTTGTTTGAGGCTTAGAAGGTAAGTGGCTGTGAGTGCTGGCTTACGCTCTGCCTGGGGCTGCCATTATGGCCAAGGTTTTCCTTTTATGTATTCCCAGGTATTTTATGAGGTGCTAGCACTGGCACTTGATAGCAAACCACTACCACATCTGAGTAACAGCCCGAAATAACCACAACCATGAATCTTTGTTAAAGCCCCCTTCTGTTACAAGCCCTTTTCTGTATTACACCGTTACAGACTGTTATACAAACAGTAAACTGTGTGGTTTATCATTTGGATGCCATTGATAAGCATTCAGAAGGCTAAACCAAGCAGACTTCATTTCTTCCCCAGAGCTACGTGTTCCCCCTGCTCCTTAACAGCCCACCAGCAAAGGCATGATGGGCAGTGCTACACAATCCTCACTAATATCCCCTCTGCAGCTTCAGATGAACCCAGGCATGAAGTCTACTTCTCAAAAGTGCTTTTTTCCTTTTGAGAGTAGTAACATTAAGACAATCAGGAAAAGCTGAGCCTTTTCCTATGCTTAAGCTCTGTTGGGCCTCTTCTTCAACAGCCGACATTAGACATTTCATTCTTGCATACTTAGATGAGCAAGGGCTGCACAAAACCCATGCTGACAGAACACCTACTGTCCAGTCTTCATTCACCTCACCCAAGCTGTATCAAGCTTAGGAGTGTGGTCTTGATAAAATACCACAGTGATACAGAAGGAAAAATTTCCAAAACTTAAATAAGAAAATTGCCTGTGACCAGTTCTAGCACAGGGCAGTAGCTGCTACTACTTCCAGTAGCAGTACCTGGCACAAACTGCTCAGACAGTTTCTCATCTTGCACCTTCCAGCTGAGACCAGAGTGAAGACGACTACTTCGGGTCATCTGCATTCGCTGGGCAGCTGTGTGGACACATACATTCAAACAGGAAAACTTGCTGTATTTCTTTTTATTGTAATAGAAAAAAAAAAAAAACAAAACAGATAAATCAAAACATCACTTTCTGGCTAAAGATGTTATTAACATTTTTAAATGGCATGGGGGAACCCCAACAATACAAGACAGAATACTAAGTGTGGGCAAAAGGGTTCTGTTCCCTTTCAGGAATTCAGTTTCCCTGCCCCTTTGTCAATCAGCTGGGTGAAGTTCATCACCTATATATACACTTACATACACTTCTCAGTCTAGTTTATGCTCCTATGAGTAGGTACAGCTGGGTGGAATGTTGGGGGTGCAGTCCTGCAATTTGCACATAACCATCTTCGGAGAAAATGGGTTTCCTAAGAGGCTCACAGGGTACAGGGGTCTCATTACCCAGTAAGACCAAGCAAACAGGACTCCTTCCTACAGTTCTTTTGCCACAAAACACAGGGTAGGTCCTGACCCCAGGAGACCCTCTAGGAGCTCCTTGGCTATTGCAAACAGAATATGGCTGAGTGAAATTTTACCCAATGACCTTAGAGAAACAGCATTATCTCTGCAAAGGGGCTGCTCAGGAGGTGAAAGGCAGATTGCAAAATGCATGGGGTGAATATCTTCCTTTTCTTTCCTGCCTGCTGAGAGGTTGTAGAAAGTCCTGAAGTAGGCAGCCAAGCAGAAACCAGGCTCAAGACCTCTAAAGTGGTGGACATATAGGGGATATTGTCATTGTGCAAGAGTGTGGGGCAGAAACCATGGCACCAGTGCTTCCACCACAGGCAGCTACATTTCAAGTCAGTTTGCTGAAAGACACACAACCACAGCTGTTGTGGGCTGTAATGACCAGTGCTGTGCACTGAGAGCAGGTCCACACAAAACTGAGAAACAGTCAGTACACTATTTCCACTAGGTGCAGGGCAACAAAGTATTTGAGAATTTTCCTGCAGTTTTCCTCCATTCCACCCCCTTAAAAATATGAACCATTATGTCCACACTGAGTAACAGCATGAGAAACTTAAAACTGTATTATTCTGAAAGAGCCCAACAGAGGAAAGACATCTCCTTTAGGTATCGGCCACAACAACCCCCAGCAGCGCTACAGGCTTGGGGAGGAGTGGCTGGAGAGCTGCCAGTCAGAGAGGGACCTGGGGGTGTTGATTGACAGCCGGCTGAACAGGAGCCAGCAGTGTGCCCAGGTGGCCAAGAAGGCCAATGGCATCCTGGCTTGTGTCAGCAATAGCGTGGCCAACAGGGACAGGGAAGGGATATTACCCCTGTACTTGGCACTGGTGAGGCCGCACCTCGATTCCTGTGTTCAGTTTTGGGCCCCTCACTACAAAAAGGACATTGAATGACTCGAGCGTGTCCAGAGAAGGGCAACGAAACTGGTGCAGGGTCTGAAGCACAGGTTGTACGAGGAGCGGCTGAGGGGAGACCTCATCGCCCTCTACAGCTACCTGAAAGGAGGGTGCAGAGAGCTGGGGATGAGCCTCTTTAACCAAGTAACAAGTGACAGGACAAGAAGGAATGGCCTCAGGTTGTGCCAGGGAAGGTTTAGACTGGATATTAGGAAGCATTTCTTTACAGAACGGGTTGTGAGGTGTTGGAATGGGCTGCCCAGGGCAGTGGTGGAGTCCCCATCCCTGGAGTTGGGTTGACATAGAGCTGAGGGATCCGTTGTAGTTGGGAGCTGTCAGTGTTAGGTTAATGGTTGGACTAGATGATCTTCAAGGTCCTTTCCAGCTGAAATGCTGGGGTTTCAACCCCAAGCCCCAAATTAAGGTTGACATATAGGTAATTCCCACAGCCCTTCACAAAGGGGCGGTGAGTTTGCCTTTAAGTTTCCCTCCAGGGTGCGGCCCTTGCAGGGAGAGCCATTGGGTAAATGAGCCCCAGGTGTCCCAAATTAAGTAACCAAAGGTCAGGTGTCCCACTTGGGGATAAAAGCTGGGACCACTTACAGGAAGGGGTGGTGTCTGTCTGTGAGGTGGATGTACTTTGCAGAGTTCCCTGTTGGGGAAGGACCTCCTGCCTCCCTGGAACTGGGCTCTAGTCAGGTCTGGCTTTTGTAAACGTGGGCTGTGTAGAGATTCAGTGTGTGGCTTCCTTGGTCTTATGTATTTGGCTTGTTGACTCGGTTGTCTCCTGTCCCTTCTATGGGAAACTGCATTTCACCATTTATTCCACCTATCGTTGGTCATGTAGTATCATTGTTGGGGGCAGTGGGATTGATGTCGATTATGTATATTCTGACTGACTTGTTTGTACCCCCAGCACTCACCCATGTACTGACCCTTTTGTATCAAATATAATTTGGTTATTGGTTCATCTTTATGCTGGCTGTGTCCTTTATGCCAAGCCTAATAATTGGGAAAATACCAGCCTAGATGATTCTGTGAAGTTTCCAGTGTAGCAAGTTTGAGATGCAGGACTTAACTTGCAGCAATACTTTTCACTGGACAAAGGGCTATACATTTGCATAGATGCTTTTTCAGCAGCATTCCAATTTATGGAGTATCAGCAATGTTTTGTGGTTTGTCCAATGTCTTTATCGTGTTCCTTCCTCAATGTAACTGCTACAAAATTGTTCAGGAAAATAGTGTACATACATGCATGAAAAGAAAGCAGTATGCCTATTCTTTCATTCCCCCAATCTTTTTCCACCGCAAATAACTGCAAAGCTGTAAGAATATAAAACAAGATGATGCATTATTGATGCAATTTAAGGACAGGACTGCTTCTGCATGTATCCCAATAAACTCCATTGTTCCATAGAAAAGCTTAATTTTACTCTTCCTTATTTTCTTTACATCTAGGGAGACCTACCAACTCTTTCTTTTACACTTAAGCAGAGCCCTCTCTGATGTTATTTGACTGCTTTGGAAAGGACAGCAAGATCTAAGAAAGCTGGAACTCCTACTGTGTCTGCAACTAGATACTAAAGGCAGAATTGGTCCACCTTATGTTACTGTGCAGTTGCCATGCTATTCCTGCCTTACTGTACTACTGTAACTCTGGCTCTATAAGAAAAAAAACCCAGCTCTTATGTAAAGATTTATACATAGTTTACAAGGTTCTGTCTATCTGCTGATAAGCTTACATGTGAGAAAAAGAAACATTTCACTTAATTTTACTTTCACTTAAAATCTGTTTCCACCACTTCTGCTCATGAGATTCTGTTCTTTCAGATGGTTCTTTCCCATAACTCTTGGATCTAGCATGACCAGACTCTTGGTAACCTTCAGTTTCAGCCTCCTTCCCACATACAGTCCTACTGGAAGTTTCAACTTCTGAGTGTGACACTGACACAGTCCAGCTTGATCACCTTTCCCACACAGCTGTGCCACTGCAAATATTCTCATCTGATGAGTTCAGCTTTTCCCCTGAGCAAATAACATAATGTCGATGAAATATGCAGAAGACTAATCCTGGGACACCTTCACTTCTTAGGCTACCAATACCACGTCTTTCTGCTACAGACTTCAGCGACTACCCCCCCAATATATGCAGTGACAGGAGAAAGATGCAAGCCTGCAAGGGATGGCTAGAACATCCCCTTATTTACTCTGAATTGTGTAACGGGCCCTTAAATGCTCCTGGAATAAATTCCCACTTACCAGCACAGGAGTTACTCAGCACTTGACAAGACAGCTTTTATAAATTAGTATAATAGTATTAGAAATTATGGCAATCTTTTTGGTAGCTTTGGTCTTACATGCACCCTGATAGATCCTCTCCCTAGGAAATTTTAAAAATTGTAACTTCTGTAGAGTTAATTCTGATGGAAATTATAAAATAGAAATCTGGAAGATTCACATTTAAAAAGGAAGAGGCCTGGTAAGGCTGGGCACACTGGGTCACTCCCATTAGCTCTGTCCATTATGTCTGCTGAAGGTATTTCCTCCGGCTGGCTGGATCTTGATGGAGTCCAGAAGGGGCTTTAAAGCTTGTCCAAAAGGTCTGAGAAGGTAAAGAAATAAACATCTCAAACAGCTTACTTGAACAACTTCTCCCATTTACTACTGAAGTGCAGTCACTTCCTAGAGAGCAATTAAACCAGCATTGTAGAAGGAAATTTGAAGAACAGACTTCCACTACAAACTAAAGCAAACTAATTTAACCTATTAAAGAGAGCTTCTTGTTCATAACTAAGAATCTTAAACATGATTTTATATAAGCTAGTTTGGAGTCCTAACATGCCCAGACTGCCGGTGTAGGAATACTGTGTCTGAAACTGGCTTTTAGTAATTCATTCTACTTAAGCATGCAAGTGAAATCCCTGTAATGCAACTGCAGTCCTCTGTTAAGTACCACATCAATACTAAAGACTACTAGAAGAATAGCCTCTAGCTTCCTTACAAGACAATGGTTCAACACTCGTAGAATAATTTCTGCTGCATTCTGTAGCACCTGGTTCATCTTTCAATACGACTCACTCTGTTAGAGACTTTAGCTGATTTTGAGAGATCTGAAGCAGTAAGTGCCCAGTGCAGAAGACGTGTGTCTCTCAAATAACGTGGTATACCATTGTTATGAGAAATAAGACCTAAATGATGGAGCTCAAATCATTCCACTGGGTTCCTCACTAGCCAAGTTAAAAAAAAGTTGAGCTAAACTACCAGGCAGGAATTCATTTCCTCTTTTCATATCCTCTTTTTCCATCCAGTCCTAGCTTTAAAACTGCAGCGTTAATTTTAAAGTTACATTTCCCCTGCCTCTTCATGAGCAAAGCTGAAACCTCCACAGCAGTTACGGTACTTAGAGTAAGAGAAGCAACCTTTAAGAAATATGGGTTTCCTAAGGCTAAAAAAAAATGGCACCATTTTCTGAAACTTTCTATGCTTGTCTGCTCACATATAAGTGACATCACAAAATAATTAAAGGCAGAACAACTACCTTCTCCTGTCATCTTAGCAATGCCAGTGCCATTCAGCACTTGTCGTACAGTGTTCTAAGTGTTGAAGTAAAGCAAATAGCATCCCCTCCTTAATCTTATGCTGGTTGTCAGGGAAAGACAGCAAAAACTGGTACTACTGACTCTGTAAAGTGTTTAAGCATGAAGCAATACACTGCAGAGAGGAGTGGCATCCATACTCACGTGGCAAGAACTTCAGCTGGAAGGTCAGTGATGTAGGATGGGATTTTTCTTCCTGTCAGGAACTGTGACACTTCATTACTGAAGGTGTTGCAGTTATGGTCAAAGAAGTTATAAGACTCTCTTCTGTGCCACAGGAAAGGAATTGAAACATAAAAAGACAGACTCACCAATAAATCTAACAAGCAGAAAAACTTAGATGCCTGATGAGGAACACCTCCTTACGTTAGCACTTTTTTCACCACAAAGAATTCTAAAGCGAATAGGTAGAATACAGACATCAGTTCACCTTCAAATTCAATTAAATAAGGGCGGAAAATGGTATCTCTTTATATCACTGACTTTATACAATGTGTTTTTAGAGAGTAAGTAAGGTCAGCTTTCTTCAATTCAAAACACAAAAGGAATAATGAGAAATCACAGGAATTACTGACATTGAAATATAGCCAGAACACTGAATACTACCATTTTCTATTCTTGTGGGAAGTAGAATAGACTCTTTAACAGTCAAGACCTTGCTTTGACTCATCTGAAAGTTAGCAGCTTTACTACAACGTTTCATATATGACTTCATGGGGCAAAGCAATATTTACTGAAATATTTCATATAGTGCCTTGGTTTTCCCTGGTGATTCTTTCAAAGGCATTTCAGGCATTATTCCATTTTACAAAAAACTGTGTGAAAGACTTTGTGGCAGAATGCTTTCCCAGCCTAGGTCAAGGCTGGCACGCCACAGCCTAGCTAGTAGCTCCTTGTGTATCGGTGCATAAGTTCTAGCCTCATTATTTGGAGAGTACCAAATAATACACTAAGCAGACAAACCTTTGTGAGCAGAAATGGTTTTGTAATACCTTCCTCCATTCTGCACCCCTTCCCCTAAAGGCTTTTTTTGGTTATATATATAGTACAAGCTGCTACTTACCGAAACATAGATTCTCCTAAAGAGGAAAGATATTCCAGAAAAATTTCTTCTGTGACTTCAGTATTCCCCAGGTCAACAACTGAGTCTGGGGGGCCAAGCACTGTCTCTCCCTGTAAAAATTAACAGCCAGAAGACAATGTTAAATGGACAGATTTAATTCTTTGGAGGACTCTACTGAATAGAGCTATTGTGGCTTGTCCAGGCACAAAAGGAAAAACTTTTGGTATGTTTGTCCAGCAAAAAAACCCTACTGGCCTCCCCTGTTCTGCACTCAGAGAAAGAGGAACATGCAACTTGCATTTCAGCTTGTATACTTAGCTCTTTGAGCTAAAAGCTCTAAGCTATGGCAAAATTCTGCTTTAGAAGAATGGCCGATCAGTTTTGCCTCTCCAAGGACAGAAAGGTCTGACAAAGTATCATGAATTTTATTTTTTTATCTTAAAAAGGATGCCTTCAGTTGCCAAGTCTCCATGTAAAACCTATCAATACAGAATTAGACAAGGTGTCATTTTGGCAGTGCAGCTGCAAAAGGTATCTTGGATAGACAGACTCTAGCAGCAGAAGCAATCCCCAATCTCTATTTAGAGGGGCTTAAACCCACTGTCCATGCTCCGTTTTCCTTAGATGCCCTGGGCAACCATGGCAAGCATCCACATCTTGCTGATTTCAGAAGCCTCTTGGTGCTTTTCTAAAAGACAGTGACACAAGCAATTCTGATCAGGTAACCCTATCATAAAATTATCAGAAAAATAAGTTTAACTTACAGGTGGACAGCTGGAGATTCCTCTACTGCCATAGAAGAACTCATCCTTATGAACTATTATGGAGGTGTGCCTGACACAGAGAACAAAAAACAGGTGAAAAAGGAAATATTTAACCTAGCACATAAATTACTGGTTAATTTACAGGCTCAAGGACATCATGAAGAGAATAACTGAAAGAAAAAATGCATTTCTGTGAGTAGGAACAGGATCTGCTGGGACATGAATGGATATGGAAGCAATCATTATCAAGCCTACTGTAACTCTGTAAGTGGTTGGGAAAGAACAGGCTTAGCTAGGTACCCAAGCATGAAGGAACATAGGAAAAGAGGAACTTCCACACCAGCACGAGATCTCCAGCAGCCTATTTCAGCTAAAGGGTTGACAGTGAAGTCACAGAGATAGAGAGCACTAGCCCTGCTCTCACACTGACAGAAGTGCATGTCTGACAGATGCTGACTGAGATGAAAGTCAAGACAATCACCGGAGATGTATCAATAGAGTGGAAAATAGATGGACAAGGGTTTAGGGGTTTTTTGGCCTTTTTTTTTTTTTAAAAAAACCTTTGATATGACTTAAACTGGAGAGTGTTTTGTAACCAAATGTAGCCACTGCTCTTACATGCCAGAACACCTGATTCTGTAATATCTTCTTCCCACCTATTCCTTTACTCTCATGTTTAGTCATGCTTGCAATTAGCAAAGTGCTTGGGACAAGGACAACATCCTATCCTTGAAAAAGTGTACAAGTGCGCTAAAACACAACTACTACCAATGCTTTTTTTTTTTTTTATGGGGTCCACTGAGCTTTGAATGGAGAAGTTTAAGCAGCACCTGACTATACATCATCTTACTGTCAGTCTGTTATTCAGGAACAGAGAGTGCCTTGGTCTCTCTTCAGCACCAAAATGTTCTTAAGATCTAAAGCATACATAATCTCATTGAAAATACTTCCTACACCACACAGTGTTTAACACATTACACAATTTAAATCTAGTCACTTACCAGATGCCATCCAGCTGTTTCCCTGTATGCAGAGAAAAGAAGAGTTATTAGCAACGTATTTTCCAGATTTCAGCCTATTTTGTCAATCACTTAGGAACCACGCTTATTAATTTACCATGACAGTAATACCAAAGATTTCATCCCAGAGTTGCTTCTAAAGAAACAGAATATCTTTCTTTCAAATTAACTACTCCATCCACACTACTGCTGTACTTTTTTCCTCCTGCATGCAGACATGGCAACACCATCTTATCCTGCCAGTGCTTACCTTTCTTGGGCTTGTGTCTACAGACCAGGAAAAGAAACCTCTTCTTAAAATTAGAGTCTTCAGTCAGGGCCAGAAGAGTTGAATTTTACACTGATTTCATAATTGCAGGCAGTTAGCCAGCACAGAGTATTCAATTTTCTTTTCCAGTAACTAATGAAAAGATCTGACTTGAAAATATGATCTGTGGTGACAGTCTATAATCTATTCCATGGTTTCCTCCTTTCCCTCCCTCCCCCTGGCCTTAAAAAATTATCAGTTTAAGTGGGAGTTGGACGGAGGAGTGCAGGGTTGAAAGTTATACATGTTATAAAATTGTGTGTTCTGTATAACACATCAGCAAGGACTTGCTTCAGGCACCACTAAACTGATATCATTGTGCCTCAGAGAAAAATTCCTTCTGAAATGCTTTTCCAGTTCCCTAGAAGTGGGAAACAAATCTCTCTGTGTTCATGGTAGGATCTCAAGATCAAACCTCTCTTCAAAGGGTCACCAGTTGTTACTGCTCTAGGCTCAATTATTTTATCTATCATAACCCAAAGGCTTGGTCCCTGGTAGTATTGGACCCCTTTATAAACTTGTGGGCAGCAACTGCATGCTATGACAGATGTGCTACAACTGTAATTAGCCAAAGTGCACAACACCCAGAAAACTGGATTTAGAACAGAAAACCTGTGTGCATACCAATATTTGGTATTTTCCTGAACCCAAGCAGTAGACTGAGTGCTCTTCTACTATAGCTTCTGCTTGCAGCAGGCTCCTAGTCCTTTTAGTCGGCCTCCATGTATAAGTGCTCTCCCCTGGCAGACCACTTCCCACACCATTATCCTTTATACCCAAGCAGCATCTGTTCCAAGATGGTTTGTTGTTATTGTTCAGCTTTTAGATACCAGAATGCAATGATCTGCTGAAGACATCTGCAGGTTTCCCAAAGCCAGATAAAAATCAGTGTAGAAACAATAAAAAAAACACCACCTGAACATGAGAGGCACTGTTCTAGTAAAAATTTGTTCAGAAAGCACTGATGGGTTAACTTTTGGCCAACAGGCTTTGCTCTGGTTTGGACACTGTCTGTTTACATCACACCAGCCTCAGACTTCCCAAAGCTAGCCACAGACCTTGCTTCCTGAATTATGGGCCATTATGTCTAGATATTATTTTCTTCCTTTAGATGCAGCCTCACAGATGTGGTCTTTTTAAAAATGTTTTATTCAAATGCTTGTGACATTCAGGCTTTTCTTAGCTATCTTGAGGGCCACTGCCTTAACTGACCTTAAGATCTGTCTATATCCCTCATCACACTATCAGCCTTTCCTCTCTCTAGTAACTATTCCATCAGCCACCCTGCTTGTATTCCCACAGATGCTGAAAGTGCACTACATCTGCTTTTCAAAGACTGGAATTGGTTGCTCAGAATAACAATAAATGATTCCTCTCATTAAAAAAAAAAAAGTTTGGTAAAAATGAAGCTGGCTCAGTTGCATTCCCTTGCTCTTCCCCTATGATTCCCAAAGAGGAGGCAGAACATTATACACTGAGGCCCAGTTAGTATAGCAGGGGCCGAAAGCTAAACAGTAGCTTGACAGAGCAGTATTTCAAGCCTCCAGGATGCTGGCCTCTCTGCTGAAGTGTTAGGGGTCACTCTTCTCCTGTTGGTGTCCAGCTGCTTCTAAAATACCTGGTGTGGTAACAGTGATGGGGGTACATTGTCCCAGTCCCACCTGTCCTGTGGAAAGATATTCTCCAAGCGCCCTTAGTTAGATCAGTGTCATGGGCATCAAAGGTCTACAGGGAGGCAGATGAATTGCCTTTCCCCTTCTATAAGCAGAGGGTCTTGGTGTATTTATCCTGTCTTATTCCTCTGACAGGGCTGCTTTGGTCTGTGAATGCCAGGAGTAAATATGCTACTTTGAAGCAGTAGTAGTTCTTCACAAGTTCTTTCTCTTGGGCAAAAGCAACTTTCTGTCATCAGGACTAGGTAAAACAGAGTAACAAAACTGATGAGGATAATCCTTCACAAGTACTGAGAAAAGGATGTTTACATGTCCAAGTAAGGAATAAAAAGTCACTACCACATTCCACACTTTTTCTGCTCAAATCTGAAGCAAAATAGGCATAGAGATAGATGCTTGCTTCATATGAGGGTTGTGTAAGAGTGGAGGCAGGGAAAAGGCTGTGTTGACATTAGAGACATCAGTCAAAGCAAGCACACAGTTTTGAAGTAGGTGGACTGATCTGTCAGTAACATGGATCACAGCCAGGCAGCAAGCATATTCACTGTCAATCCATCGCACAGAAATGTAGGCATGGAGTAGGATGAAGGCCAGAAGATAGTAGCAACAATAAGAGAAGTGGAGCAGTGTGTGGCAACATCTCAGGAGGATTTGCTGCCCCTTTAGCACGTTCTGTACTGTTGTGCTCCTCAAGACTCTGGCCCTTGTTCCATACCTTCCCCATCAGAGCTTTTGCCTTGTGCTCTAGAGCTGCCAGAAACCAGTGACACTGCAGGCTCATCAGCAACATGTGAGGTAGGGCATAGCGCACTGCCCTAACTTTAGCAGCTGGCCTATGATAAGCTCTGTTGCTTGGCTTTGCATAGTTAGTGTTCTGCGTTAAATTATTACACATTTGTTTACAATAAATCACTGTTTTCCACTAGAAACTTGAACTTTATCCTTCAGGCAGAGAAACAAAATGTCTCAAAGGCAGCATGTACTAGAATTGTATCTGTCTTTTTGTGTGCTAAATGGAAGAAGAACATCTTAATATGTACTGTCATACACATTTCCAGTAAACAATGTTGAAAGCTTTCCACAAAGTTGCCACTATACACCTAGATTCTGTGTGCAAGAATGTGAGAATTATAGCAGATGCTGACAAAGTCACAGGTGCTGCTGGGAACCTCCTCATTGCAATTACAATATCTACTTGAAAAGATCACTGCAGCAAAGGCTGCATCGCGCTACTCCAGCAAGACTGCAGCCAGCATCTCAAGGGAGGTGAATCTTTTGCCCTACTCAACCCTTGTGAAACCACACCTGGAGTGCTCTGTGCACTTTTGGAACCCCCCAGTACAAAAGACACTGACATACTGGGCCGGAGTGCTTGCTGTATATTGAAGAGCAGCTGAGAGAACTGGTCTGTTCAGCTTCAAGAAGAGAAGGCTACTGCTGCCTACAACCATACAATGGGTATGGAGGAAAGGGAGCCTTGTTCTACTCAGAGCTGTACAATGAAAGGCAGCAGGTTCTAGTCAGAAAATGGGAAAAGCCCAACTCAGGAAGAGGAAAAAAAAAATTACCATGAAGGTGGTCAAACACTGGGGCAGGAGTCTAGAAAGCATGGGAGATTTCCATTCTTGGAGATACTCAGAACTCAGCTACCCAGGGCCCTGAAGAATCTGCTCTTACTGGATCTACCATGAGCAGGATCTCCAGAGGTCCCTTTCCACCAATGCAATTCTCTGATTGTATGAACAAAACCCAAACAGAATTCAGGAAAGAGACTTTGCATTAGACTGCAGTCCAATCCTGGGGGACTCCTCTCTGGCTGCCACACACAAAATCCATAGCCAACAACAGGCAGCAACTGCCAGGGCCATAACAGAACAGCTCTTGGCAAGTGAAGCTGCCTTTCTTCACAAGGCAGGTCTGTCTGAGGCTGCTCAGCTAGGTCAGTTTGTGCCAAGCACTGCTTTGATGATCTTAATAGAGCTGCTGACCTGCTATTTTTGCTTGGCTGCTGCAAAACATTAACCAGGCTGGCACTGTGGAAAACATGTCAGAACTGCAGCACCGATGACAGTAAGGCAGCCTGCTGCAAACAAAATAAAATCCCTTTCTGCCACTGGTGGACTGTGCTTGCTCAGAGGCAGTGCAAGCCTCTCCAATGACAACACTATGGGGAAATCCCATGTCTAAGAAATGTGGCATTATTGGCCACATACACATCACCCAGAGACATCCAATATCAAGAATTTGCGGTATGCTGCTGCAGTTTCCCATGCTGCACAGTTGGCTTTTGCCATCCTAACTCCAAACTGACTGACAGAGGAAGAAGTCAATGACCACCAGCTTCTGAGGAACTTAGGCAGCACCTTCCCTGCTGCTCAGCACAAATCTCAGTGTTGTCTGTCAACTGCATCATGTAAAAGGTTCTATAGAGACATTCATGGATACCATCATCTTCTTCCTGAAGATCCTCCTATGTGACTCTTGCCCTTCTCTCAAACTCAGACATTGCACAGAACAGGTGACCACTCACAACTACTGCCACTTCTGACAAGTTCATGTAAAGCAATCAGGGCAGCCTGCACTAACGAGTTATGTCTTGCCTTCTGCTGGACATTGTCCACTATATACAAAATATGTTGTTTTCAGCCTCTGAAGGCTCGGTACACATACCAGCCCCAAAAATATGACGAAGCAAGGATTGTCACTGATCTGTTTCCACAGCCAGCTGCCCAAGTGTAGCAATACATCAGCACAGTACTGCTGTAGCAGTGCTAAGGCACAAACTGTACTCAGGCCTTGCAGTGACACTTTCCAATAAAGCTGTTTTGGGCAGCACTGTCCAGCTTAAACAGCAGGTCAAACTTATTAGGAAGCCTCCAGCCTCCCCAAATCATCCTACAGTGCAACAGAGATTACATCCCGTAATGAACTGAGTGGTCTAGAAGAAGGGATTGCAAGTACCATCTGGGATACTGGCAGACATCATCAGGCTTCATGCTGTTCCACTCCTTACCAAAACACTCC